GGAATGAAATGAAATGTAAATAGAACTATTCAATAACCTATCTTTCCACCTTCAGGGATCTGTAGATAAGCACGTCATGTCACTATATTTTTCTGAACTTTGTGTCCTGCCATTCATTGAGTACTCCCTCGTCTTGTTACTTCTTCCAAGGTGCATCACCTCACATTTATCAAGATTAAATTCCACCTGCCATTGGTCTGCCCAACTAAACAATCCATCTATATCTTCCTGTTACCTAAAACCTTTCCTCACTGTCAATAATCCAGAAACTCTTTATGCCAAACACAAACTTATTTATCATTGCCCCCATATTTTCTTCTATATTGTTTATATGAAGGTTTAGGATATATTAATATTCTTTGGAAACTTGGCTTCTGGAAATGTGTTTACATGCTTTTAAATGAGGCTTGTAAAAAACTATTAAGGTGAATAGTTCAGTGCTTAGATAGAAGAGAGAGAAATGAACTACAAGGTGCCTTATGACACAGGGAGACAAGGAGAACCATCTAGAAGTTCAAGGAATGTGCAGGTTTCTTTCAGAGACAGAAACATGTCATTCAGAGAGAAAAAGGCCTATAACAGTAAAAGTGCAGTTTAGCAGTCTGCAAAACAGTCAGGGCAGAAGAAAATATGTCTTTACCGGCTTAATGTCTGTAAGAGAAAAGCCCCTGAAAAAGAAGGCTGAGGAAGAGAAGTTTAAGGAAATAGTATTGAAACATAAGTGAGCTGTAATATCAAATTGTTTATGGATCACCAGAAGAGGCATTAACCAAAGAAATAGCATGAGTGACCATAGATTTGCCAAAAAGAAACCAATTACAGTGATATATACTGAACAAGTAATTTTAAAAGTGGAAACACGGTAACCCTTCTGTGATGTTTGAGTATCTCTAAGATTGTTCTTGAGGTTAAAAAGCTCGAATCTTTGCTTCAGTAATTTTTGGACAATGCAACAAAATTCATGTTTCTTTTCCTTTTGAGTGTAATAAACTTTGATCTTCCTTTGTTAGCACTACGTTGATAGCCTTTGCGAATTGTCAGTAACTGACCACCATGGTAAACAAATTGCAAAAGTAAAGCTTATCGCCTATCCAGCCAAGTTTCGCTCAGTGTAGTGGCAATTATTATTAACGCGAGCTGGAATCATAGCAATTCCTGGCGCATAAGTACAACAGTGAAACCCTAGGGATTGCTACCCTCTCTCAATCTAAATCCTTGTATGAAGTAGAGAGGGACTGCAGCTGAAAACACTTGGTTGATTTAGTAGGAATGGTGGTTTAATCTTCTTGAACTGAGAAATTGCCTCCAGTACACAGATCCAAGCTTTGTGCAGTATAAGACCCTCTTGCTATCATAGAAAAGTGATATACCAGCTTGTTACAAAGAGCAGCAATTCCGAATTGACCATATCTCAACACATGTTGGAGTCCGTGAAGATCTTTGCTCAATGGCAAAGCAGACATTGGTTAGAATACAGTTGAAGACAGAGGACTCTCACCCAGTAACATATTTCCCCCCCATGCTACTGACCAACCTCTCTTGACCAAGCTCAGACACATAATTGATATTATCGAGCAACTCCACTGTAGTTTATGAAAGAGACAGTGTATTCTGTTAAAGGATTTTGTTTGGGTTCAGGGAAAGAGAGATGAAGAACCTTGTTTTATTTGCTGCCAGGTGACATTATTTGCAAACAACTCAGATATCCAGTATTCAGCAATTTAGGGACAGTTTTTGTATTGCAGCTAGGGTGCTTCACGTGCCAGTCATATATTCTGCGAAATTATCGACATATGCTCAAAGTTTCTGGTCTCAAAGTCAGTGAAATCCCACACTTTAAAAATGCAGATGCTCTGATCTCCAACAGGAATGACTTGAGCTGGCCTAGTACTCATTGGATAGATAAGCACATGCCCAGCCAACGTTAGAGCCTATCTCCTCATTTGTCCTCCAAAAGAACAAATATTCAGAGTCACATTTACTCACCTCATGTTTGATTTCAGCTTCTCCTGTCTAATTTTCAAGGTTCACCTGTTAATACTTGTCTGTCTGTCTACCTGTCAATCTATCTAACTATCCTGTAGAAGGCTGTATTGTTAATTTGAGGCTGAGATTTTTAAGCAGTAAGGGAATCAGGGAAACAAGAGGAAAAGGCAGGAAAATGGTATTGAGGCTTGTCATGTCAGCCATGGTCTTATTGAATGACTTTGTTCCCTTTCTCATCTTTCTATCATTTGGGAATGTTCAGTCAGAGATAATTTTAGAGTTTAAGCAGTATCGCAGTGATGCGGACACTCAGCCAATAGCAGTAGGGGGTGGTCACCGATCTGGACCAAGTCCATTGAATCCTGCCAGTTGATTGCACTCTTGATAGTATTATGTGGAATCTAAATAGCTTCAAACTCGGACAATAGCATTTCCCTCCCCCATTGCCCCCTTCTAGAAGTCAAGCTCTGTTTGAAACTACTCTATCAGTTTATTTGTCATTAATTTTTATCCCAATCGTGAATGGAAATAGTATACGACATATGAAGGTAAAAGCCCATGGTGTTGGGGGTAATATATTAGCATAGATTGAGGATTAGCAAATTAACAGAAGAAAGAGACTTGGGTAAGGGTTGCATTTTCATGATGGCAACCTGTAACTAATGGAGTGCCACAGGCATCACTGCTGGGGCCACAGTTATTTACAATTTATATTAATGAATTGGATGAGGTGTGTGAATGTATCTCAACCAACTTTGTGTATGATACAAAAATAGTTGGGAAGACAAGTTGTGAAGATGACACTAAAAGTCTACAGAGCGTTATTGACAGATTACGTGAGTGGGAAAAATACTTGGCAGATGTAATATATAGGAAATCTGAAATTATGCACTTTAACAATAGGAGGGCTGAGTATTATTTAAATGGGAAAAACTGCAGAAATCTTCAACACAGAAGAATTTGGGAGTCCTCGTGCATAAATAACAAAAAGCATACAAGTTCAGCAAGGGATTGGTATGGTAAATAGAATATTGAACTTTATTTCAATATTAAAATAGACATTGGTTGGATCAATACAAGGCATTGGTTAGGTCACACCAAGAATACTGTGAACAGTTTTGGTCCTTTTATCTAAGGAAAGATATACACTGGAGGAAGTCTAGAGAAGGTTCTTTAGGTTAATCCTGGCTATGGAGTGATGCCCTTATGAGGGGAGGTTGAGTAGTTTAGTTCAGTACTTATTGAAGAATGAGAGATATATGAGAAGAATCAGAAGAATAATCGAAACATACAAGGTTCTTAGGGGGCTTGACAGGGTAGATGCAGAAAGGTTGTTTCCCCTGTGGGAGTGTCTAGGACCGGAGAGGATAATCTCAGAGCAAGGGATCACCCAATTACAGTTGAAGACTCTCAACCAGTAACATATTTCCCCCCCATTCCCCCATGCTAGAGGAGTTGAGATGAGGAGGAATTTCTTCTATCAGAGAGTAGTGAATCTGCGGCATTCTTTACTGTAGATGACTGTAGAAGCTGGATCATTATACTCGTTGCAGAGATAGACAGACAGATTTTTAATCAGTAAGGGAATCAAGGGTTATAGGGAAAAATCTGAAAAGCGGAATCGAGGACTACCAGATCAATCATGATTTCATTGAATGGCAGAGTGGACTCAATGGACTGAATGGCCTACTTCTGCTCCTTCACCTTGTGGTCTTATAGGGAGCCTGAGAAGGTTGAGAAAGTAATAGCTGGGTTTTTAAAATTTTAAGGTTTAAGTGCTTATTGCTATTAAAATCTGAATTGGATCGCAACTTTTGGAGATTGCGAGTGTGCAGTTTAACATGGAATTCAGGAAGTTACTGCCTGAGTTTCCGGCTCTTCAGAATCTTCATTATGCTGGTATCTGATCAAAAAATTACATTGAAACATATGGAACAGCATCAAGGTGCTTTACTTATGTGATAGATATCCACTAAATTGGCCAAAAGAGTTAGTGTTTGACCGTTCCAGTGTAAGGAATTTTTATAACGGTGTGGCATGTTTAATCTTGAGCAAACAACTTTTAACTCAAACGTTTAAAAGTTTGAGGACTTGTCCTTTGGTACTGTAATTCTTCTTGAAGTTTTAAATAATCGAAACAAAGCAGAAACTTTTTCTTTCTGTCCATCTTATTTCTGTTGTATCTAAACCCATTTTTGTTTCCCTCTCTTTATTTTGCCCCCTGCACCTGATCTGACATTTCGTTCACTTTTAGTTAGTACTTCCAGATTCAGACTCTGAGCTGCTGAGTAATAGTCCTTTAAAACGATCAGCCAAGGTGATAGAGATAGTAGGAACTGCAGATGCTGGAGAATCTGAGATAACAAGGTGTAGAGCTGGATGAACTCAGCAGGCCAAACAGCATCAGAGGAGCAGGAAGGCTGACGTTTCGGACCTAGACCCTTCTTCAGAAAGCTTTCCGAAGAAGGGTCGAGGCCCGAAACGTCAGCCTTCCTGCTCCTCTGATGCTGCTTGGCCTGCTGTGTTCATCCAGCTCTACACCTTGTTATCTTAGCCAAGGTGATAGATGCCCTGACACATGGGTCTCTGGTACTGTATGGAAGGTGCTGCATAGAAATGGCTTTTGAAAGTTTCTGTGTGAAACAACAGTGGGTAAAAAGTGTAAAAGTATAGCTGGTACCACTTGTTTTGCTACTGAGAGCAAGATTTGGCCCATCAATGATAAGTAAAGGCTGTAACAAAAATAAAGTTGCTGGAAAAGCTCAGCAGGTGTGGCAGCATCTGTGAAGGAGAATACAGAGTTAACATATCGGGTCTGGTGACCCTTTCTCAGAAACGTTAACTCTGTTTTTTCCTTCACAGATGTTGCCAGACCTGCTGCGCTTTTCCAGCAACTTTGTTTTTGTTCCTGATTTACAGCATCCACAGTTCTTTCATTTTTTTTGATAAGTAAAGGCTGTGTTTGACAATATATTTTTTCTTAAAATGTTTTAATGCTTTTTGTATTTTTGCAGGAGAGGTAATTTTCACCTGTGTCCAGACAACAAGTAAGGGAGCATGGAGTGTGTTCAGGTGGCCAAAGAGGCTGAAATGGTGGAGATTATTCCAAATGGCAATCATGTAGAAGATCTGACTGTACCAATCAAAATGCAACATGAGGAGGACAGGTATGTGAAGTCAACTGAACATTTGCTTGAATAGATCTGTTATTTTACAACAGGTTCTAGACATTCTTATTGCTGGTGATGAGACATATGCATGGTTGTCATACCAACATGATGGTCTTGTTGCCCAAATAATTAGAAGTTATTCCATCTACTGTATCTATTGTACTCATTGTTTTCTCTGGCTCTCACCACGTCAAGCAGCATGCTTGGCTGAGAATTGAGCTTGCTTCCAATCAAATGGAAGGTGAGCAACTACGGAGGCTACTCCGGTCCCACACCAAGCCATCCAGAGAGCAGAGACATTGTGAAATGACTCCCTCGCTGCACTTCCCCCTCGTTACTCTTTCAGTTGAAAGAGGTACACATTGGTGCTGGCAGTCTAAGCTGAACAAAGGTACTTCATGTTGTAATGCCAGCGCCGAAACCCTGAGGATGAATGATAGATAACAGGAGCAGGAGTTGACCATTCAGCTCAACAAGCCTGCTCCACCATTCAATATGATCATGGTTGATCATCCAACTCAATACCCTGTTCCTGCTTTCTCCCCACACCCTTTGATCCTAAGAACAAATCTGACTCTTTCTTGAAAACATTCGTGTTTTGGTGTCAACCATTTTCTGTGGCAGAGAATTCCATAGGCTCACCACTCTCTTGGTCAAGAATTTCTTCTGATCTCAGTCCTAAATGAGGACTACACTATGACCCGTTGTTCTGGACTCCCAGGTCATTGAGAACATTCTTCCTGCATTTACCCTGTTTAGTCCTGTTGAATGTTATAAATGTCTATGAGATCCACTTAATTTTATAAACTCCAGTAAATAGGTTTCCTACTGATCCAATCCTTTTTCATTCATCAGTTCTGCCATCCCAGGAATCAGACTGGGAAACTGCTGCTGTGTTCTCTTCATAGCCTTCTTCAGATCTGCTTCCCCCTCACAGCTTACCATTCCCCCAAACTTTGTGTCATATGGAAAGTTGGAGACATTACATTTAGACTTACATTTCAGTTCCCTCATCTAAGTCATTAATATACTGTATTATATACATGTAATTACATCTTGTGAATAGCTGGCATCCAAGCACTGCTCCCTGTGGTACTCTACTGGTCACTGCCTGCACTTGGAAAAAGACCTAACTATTCCTACTCCTTGTTTCCTGTTTGCCAACTAGTTCTCTGTCCATGTCAGTACCCTACCCTCAGTCCTGTGTGCTTAAATTGTACGTGCTATTCTAATGTATGAACCTTCCAAATATACTACATCCACTTCTCAACTCAACTGGCTACATCCTTGAAAGTTCTATCAAACATGGTGTGCAGCCAACACAGGTATTTTTTTTAAACTCAGTAATTTTGACCTGATTATAACTTAACCCAAGTAGCAAAAACAAATGGGCTCTGAGATTAAGATTGCTATGCACTATTCACTTTCCATTTTTGCTCTGCCGCAGTGTTTACTGGGATCATCCACTAGCCATCATCAGTGGTTGCCTGAATCAGCAGGAAGCCTCATTACTGTTTCCTGTCAATTGGAACCCTGATAGAAGGGACATAGCTCAAAGAGGATGCGGTGAATACAATCAATTATCTCCGGAGTAGGAGTTCATCTCTGCACTCCAAAGAAGGACCATATAGCATTGTTACCCTGGGCTCTGTTCCCTGCCTTGTCTCCTTGGGATGATCTAACTCTCCTACAGCACTGACCTAATGCCTGTCACCTAAGTGTGGCTGCAAGCTGCCCGACTTCGTGCCAGCCTTGAGCCGATGAGTGACAGTGGTGGCTACAATTGAAGCATGTGGGCCACCAAGAGGAACAGAAGGGGCATTCTACCCACTCCCCACCCATTCTCTACCCAGAGTTATTCTTACTGTTTAAACACTGGGATATATTTCTCAGATGAGTAAGAAATGAGCAGCAATTGGACTGCCTGTTTTAGAGTCCTCAGTGTACTGCTAAGCCGCAGCGAGCCTCTGATATGTGTAGGCCTTGTCATTATACTACAATCTGTCAGTGAGATCACTTAACTACAAATATCTCTGCTCCACTGGGTTTTGAGGATTTCTTTCATTAGAATCTGTTGCTTTGGGAACAAGTGAATTCCCCTGGCTCAGTTCTGAAAGCATCAAGCAACGGTGGAACGTACCAGACATTTCCATTTCCTTCCAGAAAATCACATTTTTGTTGATTTGCCTCCAGAAAATCCTTTGGTGTATTTATTTTGGAAGGTATTATTAACGCAATAAATGAGGCTGAGCTTTAATTAGCATATCAATGGATTTTGTGGTTCTATTTTTAAGTTCCTTACACGAGCATTTATTCCCGTTCCCTCAGAAAAAAGCATGTTTGTCGCATCTTCACAAACTCACTTTTAAAAGGAGTTGTTTCTGTTCCTCTTCATTTGACATTGAATCTTTCAGTTGTTGGGACAGTCCTCCCTCTCCAAGAAATGAGCAACACACGAAGGCATGGGAAAGAAATTGGATGACATTCGAGTTTTCAGTTCTGGAGAGCTATTAATTTTGTTTCTCACAATTCAAATACTCTCAGCCCTCACTCAAAATATATTGCCTCTCAAATTGCACAGTTGGGTACTGGCATAGGAATCCCTAATATGTTTTTGTGACTTCCTATCCTACATAACGGATACTTAAGGTTCTCTTCCTGCCCCTTCTGTTAATTTACCAACAGGAGTAGGCCATTCTGCCCCTTGAATTGTTCCACCATTCAGAGAGACCATGTGATCTAAGAGTCAGTCATATTGCTCTTGGTCTGAAGTCACATATAGGCCAGACCAGGTAAGGATAGTTTATTATCCTTCCTAAAGGACATTAGGGAGCCACTCGGGCATTTACAATCATCAAAGGTAGCTTTATGACACCAATACTTAGATGAATTTTACCTTTCACCAGCTGCCATAATGGGATTTGAACTCATGTTCCCAGAACACTAGCGAGGGCCTTCGTTTTCCTTGCACTTGTACTTTTCAGAGCAAAAAAGAATATCATAGGTTGTGCTCACCATCACTTTCTCCAGGGCAACTAAGAATGAACAATAAACACAAGCCCACCCAACTAGGCTCACATCTCTTCAATGAAGGAAAAGAATTGCCATAAGTAAATCTCTGGTTTGATTTATTTCCCTTTCTACTCTTTGAACTCAAGTGTCAGATAGACCCTCCATAACATTGAGAGGTGAGGTAAAGTTATGATTAAATAGTAATTGCACATACTTAACATTTGTGAAGTCAGAAGTCACATGACACCAGTTTATTGTCCAACAGGTTTATTTGAAATCACAAGCTTTCAGAGCGTTGCTTCTTCATCAGTCGAAGTGGAACGAGCAGCACTCCGAAAGCTTGTGATTTCAAATAAACCTGGTAGACTATAACCTGTGTCATATGATTTCTGAACTTGTCCATCCCAGTCCAAGACCTGCACCTCCACACCTTGACATTTATGCACATTTCAGTCTCGTTTCTCTCCATCCAACCCATAGGTACGAAGATAATGAAGGAAACTCAGCCGAGTGCGATGAATTCCTGCCTCATTCAGACACTGAGAAGAAACCTACCCGTTTCACAGATGTGAGTTGTTTGGATATTTGTGAAGAAAACATTGTTCCTCCTCCACTGGGGAACGTGCTAAATTTAGTCAACTGGATCAGAGCAGAACTTAGGCCCTCAAGTGAATGGTTGGCAATTCTGAGAATTAATCAACAAATTTTTTTTTATCTTCCTTGATTTTTGGTGTTTAATATTTTCTTTCTTATTACAGTTTGAAGGGAAAACCTCATTTGGAATGTCAGTATTCAACCTGAGCAATGCCATCATGGGCAGCGGTATCCTGGGCCTGGCATATGCGATGGCCAACACAGGCATTGTCCTCTTCCTGTAAGTACAGCTTTTATACGTTTCATTTGGTCACCTTTCTCTCTATTTCCACACTTTGGGCACGCAGTATCCACCGTCAAGAGAGCAACCAGGTCATAAAATCATTCTATGCCATGGAAGGAGGCCATTTAGAACTTCTGTACTTCCACTATTTTAATAAGCAGGAAGTTCCAGGCCTTTACCGTTCACTGTATGAAACATTTTTCCTTGCATCTCCTAGAATCTTAAACTTATGCATCCTCAGGGAGGGGATGGCCTAATGGTATTATTGCTACACTACTAATCCAGCCATCCAGGTAGTGATATGGAGACTTGGGTTGGAATCTCGCCATGGAATTCGACCAGTAAAAATCGGAATTAAGAATTTAATGACCATGAAACTGTTACCAATTTTGGGAAAAGCCATCTGGTCCACTAATGTCCTTTGGGGAAGGAAACCATTGTATTTACCTGGTCTGGCCTGTATGTAACTTTAGACTCATTGCAATGTGGTTGATTCCTGACTCTCAATTAGGGATGAGCTGTAAATGCTGGCCTAGACAGTGACGCCCACATCCTGTGATTTATTTTAAAAAAAAACTAGGCCTTGCACCATCTGCTAATAGGGACAGCTTTTTTATCTAAACCTGTCTTGCACACCCCGATTAAATCTCTTCTAAATCTCCTTTGTTGTAAGGATAACAGTCCCACCTTATCCTGGAGCTAAAATTTCCCATTCCTGGAAACATTCTGATAAATATTATCTACATCCTCTTAATGACCATCCCAATCTTCCTAATATGTAGTGTCATAGAGTCATGGAGGTCTGCAACACAGGAAAAGGTCCTTTGGCCCATTACTTTGTATCCTTTGGCATCACAAGTACACATCTAAATACTTCTTCAATGTCATGAGAGTTTTTGCCTCCACCATTCTAATAGGCAGTGAGTTCCAGACTCCCACCACCCTCTGGGTGAAATGGTCTTTCCTCACATCTCTAAACTTTTTGCCCATTGTCTTAAATATTTGCCCCTACTTATTGATCTCTCTATCAAAGGAAAAGTTCCTTCCAATTTACCCTGTCTCTGCCCCTCATAATTTTATAATTCAATCATGTTCCTGCTCAATCTCCTCTGCTTCGAGGAGAACAACTCCAGCCCATCTAAGTTATTTTCATAACTGAAACTCTCCAGCCCAGGCAACATCTTCGTAGACCTCCTCTCTACCCTTGCCAGTGCTATCACATCGCTCCTATAATGTGGATTCCAGAACTACACACAATACTCTAAGCTGTGGCTTAATGAACGTTTTATACAGTTCCAGTGTAACCATACTGCTCTTAAACTCTATGACTCGATTTATAAAGGCTTACGTAGTATACCATAAGCTGCCGTAACCACCTGCCCTGATGCCTTAGGGGACTGGTGTACATGCACACCAAGGTCCCTCCGATCCTTGGTGCTTCCAAAGGCCCTACCATTCATCATGTATTCCCTTAACTTGTTTGTGCTGCCCAAGAGCATCACCTCATGTTTATCTGGATTGATTTCCATTTGCCACTGATCAGTCTATCTGAACCATCTGTAATCTAAGCCTATCCTCCTCACTATTTACCACCCACCAATTTTTGTATCATCTGCAACCAGTGCTAGATGTAATATCCTAGTTGCAGCCAAACCAGAATGTTATAGCTTTATCTACTTTTAGACCGCTATCTATTTTTATAGAACTTTTTTTTTTATATAGAATCCCTACAGTGTGGAAACAGGCCCTTTGGCCCAACAAGTCCACACCAAACCTCAGAGCATCCCACCCAGACCCATCCCCTTATAACCCACCTAAGCTACCCTTCCCTATACACTATGGGCAATTTAGCCCAGCCAACCTACCTAACCTGTACATCTTTGGACTGTGAGAGGAAACCAGAGCACTCGGAAGATACCCGCACAGACACAAGGAGAATGTGCAAACTCCACACAGACAGTCACCCGAGGGTGGAATTGAACCCGGGTCCCTGGTACTGTGAGGCAGCAGTGCTAACCACTGAGCCACTGTGCAGCCCCAATCTATAGCATTCTTTGATTGGCAATCAGGAAGTATGCCTGGATAGACTGGAGTGATGTCCCTTTTGTTTTATTCCACTCCCTTTTTTGTGTGGAAGTGGTTTTCCTCAATGCTTTCAAATAATTCATGTCCCAGTGTATCACAGTCACAAAGTCCACCAGTGTGTAAGCCAATATTCGGAGCTTGCAAAAGGTTGAGGGTTACAGATAGTCCATGGGCCACAGCTTAAACACCCCTTCTCCACATCAGTAGTGAATGATGAAGGTTGTATTGTAATGGTGCCATTGTTTTGTCTGTGTAGTGATTGGATCGAGATTGATCAGGTGCATCTCATTGAATATGAGTTCCCTGATTGGCCCAAATTAAAGCGCCAATCAGGGAGCCCTGGCTGACAGATATAAACAGGAAATTCGGGGATTCTCCTCACTCTAGGAGCTGGCTCTGAGTTGGCTGATCAGAATACATGTACTGTGCCTGTGTAAATATAGGACGACTTGGTGATGGGCTACCGGTCTCCGTGGAGTCATTTCAGTCTGCACAACCATTTGGAGTCCATATCTGGGAGAACCCAGATAAACTTGGATTGTCCATTGAAATTTGGCCTTTTAGGTTCTTGATCTCCTTTATGCTGGCTCTGCCACACGCGACAAATCTAAAATTAAACAATATCGTCACTGGGCATTCTCCTGATCCCACTGCATCCATCATCACCAGGATCTGTGAAAATTTTACACCCCTTAAATGCTTTGCATTGCCTATTAACCAGCTGCTTAGCAAGGCCAAACTTCATTTATCCATTAAGGTTGAAATTTCAGTGTATAAAGGAACCAAGTCATGTCTCCATTTTCTCCTCAAATGAAAGTATCTGTTTTTCTAATGTACTTCTAACCAACAAGGGCAAAACAATTTGTCTAGAAGTATAAAAAAGCCAAAAAAACTGCAGATACCAGAAATCAGAAACAAAAACAGATATTGCAGGAAAAACTCATCAGGTCTAGCAGCATCTGTGGAGAGAAATCAGAGTAAACGTTTCAGGTCCGGAACCCTTCTTCAGAACTGCCTAGAAGTATGTTTGTTTGTATTTATAGAAACATGGCTGACTGAAATTGAAGATGAGCATCAACTATCCTCCCCAACTCTTTCTGCTCAGAATCCATCTCTGGGAGTTTATCGAGTTGTAATGTCTGTAACAATGAGATGGCAGGTTTAAAGGCTGCTTTGTATTCATAATTACAAAATCAAAACAATTACTAAACTAAGTACACCTAGTCTTCACAGCTCAAGTTCCATAAATGCTTGTGGTGAACCACTAATACTGTCGGAGTAGCTTTGTTAGATGTGACTTAACTTTTTACACCAAGAAGCCAGATCAAAGGCCAAAAGTCAAGGTTTGTAGTATAATACAGCTTCAAAGCTGAAAGGAATATGAGAAAGATGAGGTAAATCATAGACTAGTGATGACACGACAGCTGGTTAGAGTTTAAAACCGTATAAGATAGAGAAGATGCAGAGAGATGGTTAATTCAGTTTTGAAAGTTTGCAATGTTCTGAATCTTTACTCCATCACAATCGGGAGGAATGGAGTACTGAGTAAAAAATATATCAAACCCTAGTGGGAGCAGCATGTTTTATCACTGATTGTGGCATTAGTCTGTTCGCCTAATGGATCCTCGTCTGTCGGAGAAGATGAGACATTTTAAATGATACCAAGCTGCTTCTTCCAAGGAGAGAAAATACAAGCTGTCCAGTAAACTAGGGACAGATCTTGTGCACTTCCTGAGAGAAGAGAACTGCTATAGAACAAATAAAAAGAACCATATTCTAACAGTCTAGTAATAAGTAAGTATAGAATGATTGCCAGAAATGTCCAAAAATACTGATATTCAACCCATTGTTAAATTGCTTAAGGTTATAGATCACAATTGCAAATGATCATCTAGAATTTAGCCATTTAGAATGTGTGCCACTTCATGACAATGAACAAGTAGGGGCATAACGCAAGAGCTACAGATATATGGATTGGTTTACTGAAGTTCTATGACTTTGTTGAGAAAAGGCTATTAAGTGTGAAACCATGTTGAAAAGCATACACTATCTTATTCATGTCTACCTCAATATTCTCTGGTCCTCATTTCTTCTCTGCAGTCTTTGATGAAATGATTTTATCTGGAAACTTTTCTTTTATAATTCATTCATGAGATGAGAGCATTGCTGGCTAACAGCATTTAATGCCCATCTTAATTGCCCAGAGAGCAGTTAAGAGTCACCCACATTGCTGTGGGTCTGGAGTCACATGTCGGCCAGACGAGGTGAGGATGGCAGTTTCCTTTCCTAAAGGACATTAGTGAACCAGGTGGGCCTTTCCTGACAATCAACAATGGATTCATGATCATCATTAGACACTTAATTCCAGATATTTATTGAATTGAAATTCCACTGTATGCTGTGGCAGGATTCGAAACCAGGTCACCAGAACATTATGTCTCTGGGTTAACATGATGTGGAGTTAACAGTCCAGCAATAGTACCACCAGGCCATTGTCTCCCCTAAAAGCTATAGGTCATTGGAGAGGATGGTGCAATTAGTGAATCAGAGACAGTAAAATTTAAGAAGGTAAGTATGGTGTTTCTCACTGTAACATAGCAACAACTTGCATTTGTATAGTACCATTTAGCGACCCAGGGGTCATTAGATGGCATTGAGCCAAATAGCACACTACCCAAATTGTGATCCAAAATTTAGATTTTAAGAAGCATTTTAAAGGAATGTAGACAGACTATGTTGCTGGTGGGGTTAATGTGGGGAATTTCTGAGCTGAGAGCCTTGCTAACAGACGATATGGATGCTATTGGTGGGCAGGAAGGAAGCCAAGATGACCAAGAAGCCAGAATTGTAAGAGTGTACAGTGGAAGATGCTATATGTATGGTATTATTTAACGTCTCAGTAGAACTGAGAT